CATGGAAATATCGACTTAATGAAGCTAGCTGTTCGTTAGAGAATCGTGAAGATAAAGTTGATGCATGTTATGAAGAGATTGAAAAGAATTTAATACTTCTTGGTGCAACAGCCATCGAAGATAAACTACAGGATGGTGTACCGCAAACAATTGCAAATCTAGCATCGGCTGGTATTAAACTTTGGGTATTGACCGGTGATAAACAGGAAACAGCTATCAATATCGGTTATAGTTGTCAATTATTATCGGATGATATGGCCGATGTATTTGTTGTTGAAGGATTTGAATTCGATCAAGTCAAAGGTGAATTAATGGCCTGTCGTGATATAATGAAAACGGTGGCTAAACAACATAAAAATTCTAATATGAATTGTGATGTATCTGTGATAACATTCGAAGATGATACAACCAATATTCATCCATCAACTTGTAATACAACCATTAACAATAATAATGGCAAGATAAATGCCATTACTACAAATACTGTTACTCGTTTGAATCCAAATCCCGATTCAATGAATGATTCAAACGATTTTGCATTGGTTATAAATGGTCATAGCCTAATACATGCATTAGATCCAGCATTAGAACGATTATTTCTTGAAGTTGCATCCACATGTAAAGCAGTGATATGTTGTCGTGTAACACCATTACAAAAAGCAATGGTCGTTGATCTAGTCAAACGATATAAAAAAGCGGTAACATTAGCCATTGGTGATGGTGCCAATGATGTTAGCATGATCAAAAGTATGTATTTTGAAATTTAAAAATTTTGTTTTTGTAACATAATCTAATCAAATTCTATAGCTGCCCATATTGGTGTCGGTATAAGTGGCCAGGAGGGTATGCAAGCTGTATTATCAAGTGATTTTTCAATCGCACAATTCCGTTATCTTGAACGTTTATTATTAGTACATGGCCGTTGGTCATATCTACGAATGTGTAAATTTTTACAATATTTTTTCTATAAAAATTTCTCCTTTACCTTATGTAATTTGTGGTATGCATTTTTTTGTGGTTTTTCGGCTCAGGTAAGAAATTTTCAAAAAAAAGAAACAAATCTTTTTGCTAATTATTATTTTTTGTTTCTAATTTTTCACTATAAAAATCATTTTGTTAATAGACATTATTTGATCCTGTTTTTATATCATTTTACAATGTATTCTATACATCATTACCTGTGTTAGCAATGGGAATATTTGATCAAGATGTTGATGATATTTTTTCCATTCATTTTCCATTACTTTATACACCCGGAATAATTGATTTATTATTTAACAAATTAATTTTTCTTAAAAGTGTTGCACACGGTATTATAACATCATTTGTATTGTTTTTTGTATCATATGGTGCATTTAAAAATGCTGTCGGACCCGAAGGTATTAATCTGGATGGCCATCAAATATTCGGTACGGTTGTATCGACAATTTTAGTAATTGTTGTTACTGCACAGGTATATTATATACTTTTTGTTTGTTTTTTATTAAATATTATTTATTTTCTTTATTCGAAATTTAAACAATTAACGTTTAGATTGCACTCGATACATCATATTGGACAGTATTCAATCATATAGTCATATGGGGTAGTTTGGCATTTTATTTTTCACTTACATTATTGATAAATAGTAATTTTATTGGCAATCAATATTTGGGATGTTTTCGTATGACATTAAGCAGTGGACAATTCTGGTTTACAATGTTCATCATATTGATTATATTATTATTTCCGGTTATTGCTGTTCGTTTCTATAATATTACTGTACATCCAACATTAAGTGATCGTTGTCGTATTAAGCAAAGATATTTAAGGAAAAAAGCCTTAGTACATTCATATGATCCATATATTCGTAGAAAAAGTTCAGCATTACGTAGCCGTCGTTCAATACGTTCGGGTTATGCATTTGCACATCAAGAAGGTTTTGGTCATCTAATAACAAGTGGAAAAATAATGCGTGGAAAAACACAAAGTTATAATCTAAATGTTCCAAATGATTCTAAAATGATATCAACAACAACATCCAACAATATAAATTCAAAAACTAATTCAACCAATAATCATAATCGCCATCATCACCACCACCATCATCATCATCATCATAGACATGATCAACAACAACAACAACAACATCATCAATCAACAATTAATCAATCTAATCGAGCAAAAGTAACACCAATATCAAATAATAAACAACCATCCAATATGATTTAGTGTTAATAATATTTATGAATTTACGAAAAAATAATGATGTTTTTTTTCAATTGTAATTTGTAAATAGTTTTTTTTGTTGTTGTTGAAAATTTAGAAAACTAAAAAAACGAATTATTGAAATTTATCTGATTATTCTGTTTTCTGATATATATCATATATCAGAAATGCACCCACAATATCACCCAATAAAAAAGACCTAGTTTTTTTCGAGAAAGAAATCCCAGATTTCTTTTAAAATTTTCAAGTAGATTATTCGTATGTTTTTTTTTCTTAAAAATCATCATTGCACAGGTGTCAAATGATTAGACAGCTTTTTTTTGGCTGCTGCTATATTCTTTATTCGATTCAAAATCAAGCCATGATTTAATAATAATGATGATGATGATGAAGCAAATTATAATCGTAGTTTGGTTGATAATCTAGCCTAGGGCCCTTGTCGATGATATATATTAATAAATGGTGAATCATGACTGGTAGCCACATCATCATCATCATCTAGCTTTTCCCTCTTTAGCTTTAATTTGTGGCCAACGATCATCATCAACTATCATCATCATCATCAAGAGCTTCTGAGCTTTCTGCTTGGGTCTTCCATAATTTACTTTTATTCCCTACTATAATGGTATGAAAATTGAATAAACACTGGTGAAAAAAAAACAAATTTTTTTTTTGATTTGATGAATTTGAATGTTTGTTCTTCACGGGTGTATATTTTACACCTAATCATGGCATAAAATATATAGAATAGAGCAGAAATTGAAAAAATAAAAACATTGAACTGAATCGAGAAATAAAAAAAAAGAAGATAGATAAAGAGAAAGAAGGGAAAAAAATTATGGCTTGTGGCCAAAGATTGATTTTTTGATTTTCGTTGCCTGGACAAATCTGGGTTCAAGTTTTTTTTTCTTTGCACTATATACATACAAAAAGATAGAGATTTTGTTCAAATATTAATTCAAAGTATTATAGCTTGCTTGGCGAATAATCAAGCTAAAACGATAGTAAATTGGTGAGAGATAACGTTGCATCCATCGTTTTCAATCGTTGAAATTTTGACAAATTTTTAACAACAGCAACAACAAAAAAAACGAAGAAAATAATAATAAGTTAACATAACAGGTGTCAACGAACCTGATGGTGATGATGATGATGATGGAGATTGCCCCTCTGTTTGTTGAAGATCACATCGATCAACTCAAAAAACATCAAAATATTCAGAAAAAAAAGAAAGATAAAAGATTCGGTTAGGTCGAAATATGAAAATTTGAATTTTTTTTCTGGGATGAAATTATGAAACAATTCGGATCATATTTTTTTCTTTTTTTTCAATTAATATTCTAAATAAATCTAGGATTTTTTTGTTTGTTTTCTGTTCATTATATAGTTTCACTTAATGATGGTATCATCACCCAATAATGAATGATCATCAACAACATCGGGATCATCATCTGGGATATGAAATGTAATCCTATCTACGTACAAAGTTCGAGGGTCGGGTGTCATTTTCATTTTCATTTTCATTCGATTCGCGATTCAAACTTCATTGTCGTCGACGTTGTCAAATTCTCACCTCGTCTAAAAAAAAGTTTAACCTCAAGATGAACTTGATTTTGATTTTCTTTTTTTTGGGTTCTTTTGGTCTTTGGTTCAATTTAGCTTAACCAAGTGACATTTGGGTGTTTTGTATTACCATGTGTCTATTTGCTTTTTCGTCTTTTTGTTGTTGTTGCTTTGACCAACAAATACAAAGCATATGACCAAAGATTTATCGATTTTTTTTCTGCATTTGTTGCCATTTGGTGGTTCATAAGCTTTTTTTGGGTGATATTTAAGTAAGTGATTTCAAATCTTATTCAGCTGAGCGCGAAAACCAAAAAAATAATAATAATCAAGAGACAAGTGCAATAGGTCCATGAAGAAAACAGTGAAAATCTTGCAAGGTTCATAACGTGAATGAGAAAAAAAAATTTTGAAGAGAAAATGATTTGCCCGGGCTTTAGATTTTACCCCAATCATCATCATCAAGTGAAAAAACAGAAATAAAGAATATTTATTTTATTTAGCTTGTTGCGCGAGTTGCTTCTACAAGAAAGAGAGGAAAAAGACCATGGCTATATTGTCGTCGTTTTTATTATTGTTGATGATGATGATGATCTGATTACACTGTGATCCAAGTTTATTTGTAATGACGTATATTTTTTTAAAAATATAAAATGATTGCAAACTTGTTGCGCACTACAAATAAAAGTATCAATCGATTTTTGTTGTTGTTGTTGTTGTTGGGAATTGTTGTTCCAGAATTACATGTTTTTATGCAGGTTCAATTTATTGTTCGAAACTTTACTTTTTTTTCCAGTTGTTGATATTCACAAGTGAAATTGGTGCAACTTTCTTTTATTCCCGATTCATATTTTATCCCCTCTCTTGTTTCTTTGGTTAGATTGTCAGGTGGTCATCATCATCATCATCATCATATTGCGTTCATCTGGGATTGGTTGTTGCAGCCAATTCAACCAATCAACCACCGATCAGCTTTTGTTGCATACAAGAAACGAAAAAATAACGATTACGTTAGCTATAAGGCTGGACTTAAGATACACACACCATACATGCAACCACATAATGATATAAAAAGAGACGATCAAAAAAAATAAAAAATAAATAAAGTCTGAATCTATTTCGAACGATATATATCGAGCTACTTGTCGTCCAGTGTCTATTTGGACATGATATCAGAAACATTGAAAATTTTTTTACAAAGTTTAAATTTGAATTATTTTGGCGCGCATTAGATTGCAACGAAAAAAAAATAATAATTTATTCTGTGTTTTTTCGCTATTTTTAATTTCTTCATCACTTCAACTATATTTTGTGATTCTATGCAATTAATGATCATATTGCCATAGATTTATTTTTTTAGTTGCAACCAATCAATTTGAAATTTCATTTCCTGGGAAATCATTCAGAAAGAAAAAACAATCCAAACCGATAATGAAAGCTATCACAATGACCGATATAAGTCGTACGACATTATGGACATCGAATAATGATACACATGGCCATTGTCATTATTCATCACGTGGATGGAAATCATCAAATCGTTCATCACAACAGGATTTATTTCGTCCAGTCACAACAACAACAACAACACATGATGAAAATTCAAATTTTAAATCATCAAATTCAAAATTAAATCGATCATTATTTGGTCAAACCGATCCAATTGAAACAAAACGTTTTCTTTATGAAGAAATGAATTCTAGACGAATTATCGATCGTAATCGTTGGAATTTTGATTTTCATACGGAAAAACCGCTTCAAGGCCGTTATGAATGGCATAAATTAACCCGTTCAGATACGACAACAACAACATCAACAACAAACAGTCCACCACAATCACCATTTGATCGTCGTACACCAAGTCCTAAATTTTTTTCCAATCATTAATAATGGTAAGTTAATGATTTTTTTGTTTGTTCATTATTTATTTAATTTATCAATCGAAAATGAATCAATCCATATTTCAACCATGCAAACTTTATCACTTTAATTTACTATTTTTTTTATTTCTCAATGTTTTCATTTAACCATGTGGAGTTGTTGTTTATTTTGAAGTCTAGTCTCTTGTTACATGGCCATAAACTATCCATATGCATATATAACCATTATAAATATAGTCGTCCGGGCATAATAATAATAATAATGTTTCGCGCCAAAAATCAAATTATACCTGTGTATGTGTTTTTTGTTGTCAGTGTGCGTGTATCGCGTTCGATTTAAGTTTAGTTTTATTTTTTGCGCGGTTTCAATTGCAACGTGCGTAGGTAGTATAATGGAAAAAAAGCTATAGCTGAATTTTGTGTTTGTTTTTCACCACAAGTAAAAAACAAAATCAAACACACACAGTATATATCCAGACCCAATGTAGACCTTGTTGATGATCGAGACATTTATATTCGAATGATTATTTTATTTTATTTTTCTCGAATGGCAATTGCGCGCCAATTTATTTGCTCTTCATATCGATATTTGTTTTCAAGGTTTCGAATAAACTTTTTGGAACCATTTCTGTCTGTGAAAAATATTATATTTTTTTTTGCAATATACTAAATGTAAATGTGTCGAAAAATGAAATGAAAGGATTGTTTATTTTGTCGATTATCAAAATTGCATAATTATTAAAAAAAAAATCTAGTGAATCCTGAAATTACTTGATGACCTTTATTTTTGGTTTATTCTAAAAAAAACACAGGTGTTGCTACCTGTTTATAAAAAACAAAACAGTAGATCGATCTAATCAATGTCTTCTGGCAATTTTTTTTTTGTTGTAAATTTATACACTGACGATAATGATGATGACGATGATAATGATGTGGGATGTGTCATATACGTATACACCTGTGTAGTTTTTGTTTGATCAGGTTCCCATCCACTCCCCGTCATCATCACTGACAGATTTTGTTTATTCAAAAAAAAAAAAATAAATAACTTTGACAGAAAAATGATAGAGTTAATTAATTTATTTTCGAAAACTAAATTAATTTTCTGGGTAAAGTTACAAAACAAATAGTGATTGCAAAATCAAAAATCACCATAGATTTTATATAGGCCAATATGTTTTGTTCGTAAATCTCCCAAATCATCAACGTCATTTGAATTTTCGTTATTTTTTTTTCTTTGCTGCTTTACCATTTCTTCTTTCTTATTTTGGTTTTGTGTTTGGTGATCTGATTTTCTGAGCCCGGACAAAATAATAATAATAATAATAATATCCAAGGCCATTTCGTTAGTTTTTTTTTCTTTCTTGGTTTTCTCGGCCAAAGGTCATTCGAATAGTACCAGCGTTGTTATAAATCTTGGGCGAATAGAACACGTTCTCTATTTTTTTTCTTTCAATTTTATTATTATTTTCTCTGTTTGTAAAATATAGGCTAGGTCCATTTTTTATATATTTCTTTGGAGATTGTTTCAGACAAATTCAACAACAACCAAAAAAAAACCATATTCCCGTAAGTGTGTGATTTGATTTGATTGTGTTGCTACACACTACACCCAATGATCTTTAGTTTTCCTTGTTGTTTTTTTTTACTATAGACTTACTTTCGATCAGTCAATGAGTTTTTTTTCTTCTTCTTCTTGTCTTGATTTTGCTGCACAATGATGATAATGTTGACCATAAAAATAGGGGCCAGAGTTTTTTGTTTTGTTGTTGTTGATCAGATATAAAGACCAAATATCAATGAATGAATGAATGAATCTGGAGTGAATTTATTCCATTCATTTTTGTGTGTTGTGATTTGGTTTGAATGAAAGAAAAAGAAAAAACCCAAACCTTAAACTACTGCTTTAAGGTTTTTTTTTCTTTAGGACCCTAATCATTATCATAATAATGATGACAAAAAAAATATATTCATCAGACTAAACATTACTTATTTTCATAGTTCTAAGTTAGGCAAAACTTTTCACCAAAAAAAAAATGCTGTTCCATATCGAATAATGTTTTAACGATCGATCTAATCGACACACACCTAGCATGCGAAACAAAAACAGTTTACAATTTTGTTTGTCAATTTGAAAAAAACTTAATAAAATTTATTTATTTTTTAATTTAATTTATTTGCCTAAAAACAGAAATCAATGGTCATCAATAAAACCAGTTATAATAAACATATATTTGGATCAATATCAACCGTAAACGGAAAAAATATCCTTCATTCACCTGTTATTGGTTTATAAATTAACTAATCAATGATCTGAATTTAATGGCCAAAAAAAAAAGAACAACAACGAGCAACTTTATGGATCTCATCTCGATCAATTCACATTTAACCTGGCGAAAAATTAATATTTCCTGTAAAAATATCTTATAAAATAGATTTCTTTCATTATTATTATTATTATTATTATTTGTTTGTTTGTAAATGTTTATTACATGTTTTACATGATCATCATACACATATAAATCATCTTATTTCCTTCTTTAAACAATGCTTAACCATACATCTTTCATTTTTACAATCAAAATATCAATTTATTAATTAAACCAAAAAAATGAAACCTTGTATTAATTCTTTCAGTTTAAATCATTCACCCGGACACATTACTTTTATAATATTTTATTAAACTTTCAATCGATCTCATTTTATAGATTTATATTGTGTAATCACTATTATGTACATACAGGTAAATCAATAGATAAAAGTAAATAAAATGAAATAAAAGGCCTTCGACCTTTCAAACGAACGTGTATTATTTTCACACGAGAAGTTTTTTTTTGATTTTTGTTTCAAACTAACGCGAGAGTATCACCATCTATTGTATGAAAATTGAAAATTCACTAATGGATAATGCAAAAGGAAATACAGAATTCGAAATAATAAGAAAGATTAATTCAATTATTCTTTTTGTTGCATCATTATCATTAAATTAACGGGAAGATAATAATGATGATTTGCATATTCTACAGAAAGAATTCAATATTTCAATCAGTACCGGAACAACATGTCGATAAAAAACAAACAAAACTCTATAGATAAATGTTTTATTGTTTCATTTTTTATAAATCCTTTCAGGAATTTACAAATATAAAACCATCTTGTTTCCGGTTCTAAAAATGAAACTTTAACCACAATGAATAGGTTATTGTTTTCATTTTGGTTTGTAAATAATAATAAATTCATTAATTTGATATAACAATGACAATTATCGTCATATTTAAAAAGCCTCAATATAAATATAGATGAGAACCATGGGTTGACTTTGTCAACCAATATAGATGCGTATTATATATTTTATCGGTATAATGGACGATTGTCATTAATTTATTTATACAGCAAAAAAAAACGTTCAACTCAAACAATAAGTTAATCAATCGTGTTGTTTGAAATGAAAATGAATCGTTTTTCTCACTCTCTTTTTGACTTTGTTTCTCTTTGAATGAATGTCATTCGATAAACATCATTAATGATTCTTGATTCTAAAAAAAAATTATCGACAAGAAAACGATCATGACAATAAAGAATTTGTGGTTTTCTTTTCAGTCCACTAAATCAGATAATAAAAGTAACTTAAAAATTTTTTATTTTAACAAAAAAAAATCGGCTGTATTTTTTAAAAAAATTGTTCAACAAAACACATTGAATTGAAAATTGTTCATGTCCACCACCACCACCACATCAATACCAACATTTAATGATGAATCGAATTGCGATGTGTTTTTTGTTTTGTTTCCTAAATGTCAACAAGAATAAAAAAAATGAAATAAAATATGTCATCATCACCATTATATTTGCAAAAACATAGAATTGTGCAAAACACTAAATTGTGCTTATTAAAACCAGAAACTGGTTGACAAAGAATAAAGGGAAAAAAACGCTTGTTAACAAAAAAATTGGGGAATTTTCTGTGTTCCGTTTTTTTTTTTTAAATAAATTTAAACAGAAAAATAAAGACAACAACAACCGTTTGGTAACAAAGTAACATGGGACATTGAAAAATCTTTTTTTTTGTCAATCTTTATAAAATTCATGACAAACCGATTAAAGCTTTACCGTTTTCTTTTTCACTCACTCACTCATTCTCGACCATTATTCGGTCCATCAACACCGCTCGAAATGAACAAAAAAAATAACCATTGAGATAAGATCTTCATTTTATTCTAAACGATATTTTCAAAATTGAAAACTTATACTTGATTTGAAAAATCTGATAGAGTTTTGTTTTTCGAAACACAAAAAAAAAATTGTTTTTTCTTCTTGGATCTGGATTGAAGATTAGATTTCATTGTTTATTATGTATTTAAACGGTGTGTGTGTGTGTGTGTTTGTGATTCAATCAGAATTTTTCTCATTTCTTTCTTTCTATTAATTTAAACTGTTTATTGTGTTGTTATGATAAAATCAAAGTGAATAAAATCAATTTATTATTATTTTTTTTATCGAATGAAAAAAAGGAGAGAAAATTAAACTTGGATTGAATAAGAAACGGAAGGGAAGGGAAATTTCAAACATGTCATTTTCTCACACACACATACATACACCAAATAAAATGAATGGGTAAACTAAGAAAAATCATTGTAAATTGAAAACGATAAATAATCTTGGAAATTACAGTGAAAAAAATGATTTTTTTTTTTTGGTTCGGTTAAAAATGTCATTCGATTAATATCGATTACAAATATGATCGAAATAAAATTGAAATAATGTATGGTAATCAAAGATCATATGCATGCATCATTGCCTTGAAGCTAATTGCATCTGAATGTGTGTGTGTGCGTGTGTTTTCCTCGCTGATAATCAGAATTTTAAATTATTAAAATTTTAAAATTATTCAATCTATCCATTCGTTTATTTCCTAATGGATTTCAAAAAAGAAATGATTCAGGTTTTTTCTCTACTTCGGATTGAAATTTTAATCATTTTTTTTTTTGAATAACATCATTTTTTTCACACACACAATGCATATTTCATTCATATTTAGCAATCATTTTTCTGTTTTGGATGTTGTTGTTGAATCTGAACAATAAAACAACGAAAAAAAGACAATAGAATGAGGATAACCAGAAAAAACGTGAGTTTTATTTTGAATTTTTGTCTGTATAGGTGAAAGAGAATTATTTTAAATTGAAATAAAACCAAATGAATGAAAAATCAGAACAACGTTGAATTGAAGCAACAACAACAACAACAAAAAGTTTGGTCTTCGGTCATATCTTTGGCCTTTGACAGGTTATCTTCCATTAATACATACCTCTCTCTCTCTCTTTCTGGTATTCGCCTGGTCTTTGAGTTTTCTATCATTGACACCAACAGCAATGGTAGGGTGATAATCAACTCAAATCAATACCACCTTGCTCGAAGTGGTAATGTTAATGGTGGTGGTGTTTTCATTATCAACGTTTGTTTGTTTGTTTCGGTAAGAAAATAAAACTAGATTTAAGAAAAATCTGGTTTTTTTTTCTCGATTCTGGTTATCATTCACCATTCAGAAAACAAAACTTCACTGACCAGTTTTTGTGTGTTTGGATTCAGCGCCAATAGAAAAAAAACTGGTTAAAATTTTTGGATTTTCACATTTTTTTTACCACCATTGTAGTTGTGAATCCATTCAAACCATCTGACCATCTTATTTTATCCAAAGATTCGATTGTTTATTCTATCATCATCATCATCATCATTTGAAATTTTGAAATTCTACTATTTTGTGCGCAAGATTTTTTATGTTTTGGTTTTCTTCACCAAAATAAATAACACCGACATTGGATTCATTGGATTCATTCATTCAATTTATTCAGCAAACAAGACCGCACATGTGTTTCTCAACTTGTTCATGAACACATGGTAATAAATATTCTGTTTGAATGATTTAAAACTGAATACAATTTTTTTGTTTGTTGGCAATGATGTCGATGATTTTATTTATAATTTCATCGATTTGATTGATTAATTTCCATCAAATTTTCGACCATTATCATCATCATCATAATCTAGACAACAATAAGAAAAGTGAAATGTAAGTTAAAATAATTTTACAATTCTCCTCTCAGAATACGTTCAAAATGATAATGATTTAAATCGATTTGAATGAATCGGACGAATGAAACAAACTTTTCTCTGAAATACTTGACTGCAAAGTTTTTTTCCTGAAACAGAAAAAAAACCCAATTAAATTATTTAGTGTGTTTTTTGTTTTTGGTTCATTTTGAAATAAAATACGAAACTCAAAAGAAAATACGAAAGAATTTTAAATTTAAATAAAGTTTTTTCTCATCATCATCATTTTCTTTGGTGCCCACTTTTTTTCGTGTTGTCTCTGACTTAATTAACTCTTTTTTTTTCTTCTCTCGTTGTTGTTGTTCATTTTTTTCAATTCATTTGATTTGACGAAAATGATGATGATGATAATTAAGAATGGGTCGAAACGGGTTGACGTCCATTCTTTGGATTTTGTTTGTTTGTTTGTTAACTTTTTTGTTTTTCTTTTTCAACCAAAACCATTTTTTCATTTCATTTAACTTTGTTAATTGTTTTTTTTTTCTAACTCTTTTTGACTATCTCTCGAGCTTGCCATTTGAAACAACAATGAATGCAAAAAGGAAAACAAAAAGAAAGAGAGAACAAATAATTCAAAGATTTGAACTTGGAATCAAATTCCATGTTTAATTCAAAACATAGATTTCAAATAGTGTTGAGTTTCACCGTCATCATCATCACCGTTTTTTCAATGTTCTTGATAGCAACAACAACAACAAAAAGAGTTTCAATAAAAATCTCGGTAAAGTTATTATCATCCTCATTTTTTTTATCTGGCACCAGTTTCACCGACCAAAAAAAAACATCTGGACCATTGAATTAACGAAAGGGTAGGAGAAATAGAAAAAAAGTCGTTCAGATTCTTGATGATAATTTCGTTTATTAATTTGTTTTTTTTTTCGTTTGAATTCATTATCACCGTTTCAGAGTAAAGTAAAAAAAGCATTCCAATATAACCCAAGGCTGTAATAATAGCCAACCGAAATTATTTCATCGAATTGAGAGAAAAACAAATTGATTTCATTCAATCTTTAGGCCATTAAATTACATATCATAATGATTCTATAGGTATTTATTTTCTCATTTTCTTATGATTATGATGAGTATTTAATTGTCGAACAACTTATCGAAGAGAGAAAAAAAAATTCATTCACTTATTCCGGCAATTCTTATATGACCAACATTATATTTTATTGCGAATTTGTTTCAAAATTTTTGTTTTCTTGCTCTTTTGGTTCCGGTTGACGAACCGGAACCGAATTGCCCTCCAGAATTGAATTACGTTTGTATTGCTTCGATTTTCAAAGAATTTAATATGAAGAAAAACAACAGCAACAACAAAAAAAGTTCCTTCAAAGATAATATCCTTCAAAATTGTTTTTGGCCTTCAAAATCATTATTTCTATGGATTGTTTCACATCACATCATCATCATCATATCTTTCATATCAATCTTTACTAAACAACTGTTCAACAACAACAATATTAGATTTGAATGAAAATAATAATAATAAAAAAAAAGGGCAAAGTGAATGAAAGAAATTTCAAATAAATCAATTATATATTGAGAACGTTCAACGAAAAAAAATATAAATTTCTAATGCAACTTCTTATCTTGTCTAACCCAAACACACACACTTACATTTAAACATTGTAATGAAATATATTCGGTTGTCCATATTATCTTGATGGAAACCAAATCATTTTTTTTCTCATTTATTTCTATGATTTTCAACAATCAATATGAATTACATTGAATTCTAATTCAATATTTTCTTTTTTGTAATTCTTCAGATTTTTGTTTTGTTTTTTTTTGTTCCTTCAGAAAACAAAAATATTATCTTATTAAATTGAAAAAACACACACACACACACCAAGCTCGAACTTAATCGAAATGAAATTCGAAAAGATTTGATTTAATCAATTCGAATCAAAAACGATTCAATATCGATATCGATATCCATCCATATTGGATTCGAATGTGAATTAATTTTGTTTTTTTTTTGCTTTCGCCCTCTCTCAATATGTAATGTCGATGTGCGTAATTGTGTCCGATTTATTCTCGAATTTCTAGATTTAGAAAAAAATAAAAGATATTTAGCAATTTTGTTTCTAATTTCATTTCTGTTATAAATGTTTGCAATCAACAAAAAATAAAATGAAAAACGTTTGATGCTCAATGAATTCTGTATATATGAATGTTTTTGTTAAGTGAGTGAAACGGAAAACAAAATATTCTCTCTTTTTCTGATAAATCTGATATCTTGTTTTCTTTTCATTATATTCTACCAACTGGTAACTCTCTCTAATTATGATTATTATGATTATTATTATCGCTGTTTCGGTCTGTTCGTTTAATATCAGCTATTATAAAAGGAAAGTGAAAAAAACAGGCAAATCTATTTCAAGTATAATGAACTGGAACGATATGAATTGAGTAAAAAAAACTATGAACCTTAAGGAAAAAAAGTCTTCAAGTATCAACATAACAAAAAAACATTGAAACGGAAAACCTTAGCTATGGCTATAGTAATGATCATCATCATCATCAATGAATGAATGAGAAGAGAATTGAATTTGAAGAAAAAAACGAAGATATTTGAATGTCCAAAACCAAAACATACTTATATTTGACGTGTTGTTGCGTTTAACCAAGAAAAAAAATTCCAGGTTGAGCAATTTCTCACATATTTTGCTGATGATTTTTTTCCATAAAGAAAAAAATCTTGGAATTTCATGATGATAATGATGATCAAATGGTTAAAATTAATGTTTTCTCCCCCATGGCTATATAAAGGTGTATCTTGGTATATCATGATTATCTTTATCTGAAAAAAAAATTTCATAAAATTAATATTCACCGATTTTCATTAAAAAAAAAATAATCAACTCGATATCCGTTTTTTTTCGAATTCGCAAAAAAAAAGATTCGAAATTTAAAAATTCACATTCATAAACGACGTATTTAATGATGATAATGTTTCGAATTCTTTCACTTAATATCCGTATTCCGGATACGCATTATTAAAATTCAATCTCATCATCATCATCGCATCATTTTTATGAAAATGTAGGGCTAGAAAAAAAATGAAATTCAATCAAAAATAACAACAACAACAACAAAGATTATGAAAATGATCTTTATGGATCTACACATCATTGGAATTTTTTCATCATAATCATCATTATCATGACCATGATACATGTCATGCACATCAATTTCTGTATGTGTGGATAATTTTAATATAAAAATTGTAAATTATTTAAATTCCAGTGATCATCATCATCATCATCATCTTTGAATCATAAGTTACATCATCAATGCGCAACAGTAACAAAAGAATAAACGATATGATGATGTAATAGATTTGAAAAAATCATTTCAGCCACACATTGTGTGTGTGTGTGAATGTCGATTAAAATTTTCGTTTTTTTTGCACAAAACACTAAATGAAATGTTCGGACGAATTCTGTTTTTTTTTCTTCAAACGGCTATTAAGCTTTGATATTCTTGTTGTTGTTGTTGTTTGTATATAATTTTTAACGCTATAATGGTAGTAATTCTTGAACAAGAATAAAAAATAATTGTTAACAGAATGTTTTTTTAATAGTTTCATGGCTGAATTTTTGTTGAATCGTTTTATTTTTATTTTTGTTGTTGCTGTTGTTGATTTCAAATTGATTATCAAAAATTATTGTAATTGGTCTTGAAGTAAATTGAAATCGATTCGTTTTTAATGTTTGATTTTATAAATGAAATTGTTGTATGTATGTTTTATTGAATCAAAAATCATAAATACAATTCGTTGATTTTCATTTGGATTTTTTTTTTCTCGCAAATAAAAAATTTTAGAATCGAACGAAAAAAACATTACCACAAAACATTCGAATTTTTTTTTTGTTGACCATGTGTGAGCGTGATGATGTTCATAAATACAATGACCGAATATTCAATTGAATAATAATTATCAATGAATATGAAGAGAACTGGGAATTCGAGAAAAAAATGAAGAATTTTTCATTTTTTCTCTCCAACCATTAATGTGTTTTTTTTTCTCTAGTTCCTTGTGTTTGTTTGTTTGTTTGCTTGGTGGTCGATTTTCAATGAATCTAAAAGTTTCGATTCAAATCGACAACAAAACCGCAACAGAATTCCATACAAATAGCAACCAAAACAACAACAAAAAAGATGAAAATTCCAATCCAAACACATTTTTTTCCAATGGAATTTCAATTCAATTCAATTCGAATAGATATTTGAAACATTTGAAAAAACGGGTCTGTTTTCAATTGTCTTCAAACATGTGTGTTTGTTTTTTATTTAGAAATTTAAGTTTTTTCTTTCTTTCGTCTTTTTTCTGTTCATTTCCAGTGTGTGGTATTTTTGTCCATTATAAAATTAAGGTTTTTTTTTGAATTCAGAAAGCACCAACGATAAAAAATGGATCCAAAATGTTTGTTCTCGCCAACTGATCATTTGTGGTGTCAAAATGATTGCTGAACTGAACCATTTTTTGTTCTTTCATATCGATTTCAATTTTTTAAAAAAAATCCAGAATGTTATTGGCGATCATTAAATAATAACTTTAATTGTTTGTTTGTTTCTTTTACATTAATTTCCCTTTAGCTCTCAATAGAGATTCTGTGTTGTGTTACTAAACAAATTAATGATGGCTACATTTCGTTTCTTTCAATCAACTAATGGTTATTATGATCAACAAAATTTTCGACAAAAAAATCGTTTATCAAATTGTTTAAATCAACTAATTCATTTGGAAAATCATCATCATCATCATAATCATAATGATTTAAAAATGCAAAAAATCTACAATTTATCATCATTTGTATTATTTAGCCATTGGAATCATAAATCGTTAAAATATCTAGCTATTGTGATCATATGTTTATGCTGTTATTATAATTCATTGTTTGGTGATTTTGTTTTCGATGATATATCGGCTATTAAAGAAAATATGGATATCCGTATCAATACACCGATTATCAATATTTTTCAAAATGATTTCTGGGGTCTACCTATGCATATGGTAAGTTCAATCAATTCAAAAAACAAAAACAAAAAAATTATGACACTTTTTGTTTGTTCATTCTTATCTCTCTGTTTGTTTTCCAAACAAACGAAATATGACCGAAAAACCAAATGGAAAAACAAAATATTATGTGATTGTTTGATTTGAAACACGCAAATCGAAAATATTTTAACTAAAAACAAATAATTTTTTCCTGTTGTTTTGCGAGCAAAGATAAAAAATTTTGATTAATAATTTCTTCAATGTTTTTTTTTTGTTTTGTTCCGGCTTCAAATGATAAGCTTTTTTTCTATTATTTTGTTATCCAAGAATAATTTTTTCATTTTGAAAACTTGAAATCTTAACGAAAATCAACCCGAAATGATATTTGTGTTTTCGTTGAAATCAGATAAAATCGATTATTCTTATATCCAGAATATTCTCCTTTTATTTTCTTCTGACAATTCTTTATTCTAGCTTTTCAAACAAAAATAAACAAACACTTGACAACGACGACAACCACTTGAATAAGATGAACTCGTTGAAAGTTTCAAAAACATGATGTTTATTTTTGAATCAAGAAATAAATATAATGAATGAATGAATGAATGAATAAACATAACATAAACATAATAAAGTTGTAAGATTTTTATTCCAGATGAATTAGATGAAATAATCTTATGAATATTTTTTTTTCGATATCCAATCCAAAGCCTAATTAGCTTTATTTTCATTTTTCCGCACTCTTCTTTCTTTCAGATTTGATACAAAAAAAAACTTTGTTGTCTACTGTTTAATTTATATACTACATGTATTCATTAATTTGATCGAAATGAATCGGATAAGTTGTTGTTGTTGTTGTTGTTGTTTCGAATCAATTTTGATTGCAGCTGCTACACAGAAAAAAAAAATCAGTTACTTTGACTCTTGTCAATGATTTCTTCATCATCATTTATTCTATCGATTTGTCAAATTCTGGCTATTTTTTTCATCATCATCATCATCATCGAGAAGGAGTTTATGGAATGATGTAACATATGCATAATGATGATGAATATATTAATCATAGATTCTTGTTTATTCATAGAAAATAAGATTACAATTAAGATTTGTTTATTGACAGATTTCAAATAAACACACTACATATTGATAAAGTTCAACCGATCAAAACTCTATTAGGGCAACAACAACAAATATTCGATATTCAATTCAATCCATCAATTTCTGATATAAGGGTAAATGTGTCTAATATTGTATAATTAAAAACTAATTTATTTGATTATCATCATTCTTGTATTAAAAAAAACAAAATCATCAACAACAACATCATCATATTAACATGTATAACAGCAGCTTGAAAGATCAGATACAGTTCATTATATTTTGTTGAATATCATGAATATTCTATACGATTTTCGTTCGTTCCTTTACGATAATCATTTGACATAATGATCTATTGGATTTTTTTTTCTTCTTTTTGCTATCAATAATCTTTAGGTTAGGTTGGAATATCCTGTTTTTTATTTATTTATTTATTTCTTTGGAATTGACATTTTGTAAATAACAAATTTCTCTTCGGCTTTGGATATTTATTTTAATGAAATTCATTCATTATATACATTAATTTAATGATGATAATGATGATGATGATTTTTGATGTTTCTCTTTTTTTTTTCTCATCACTATTTCGTTGTAGTGACAAATCTTTTTCATGTTATTTAACGCCCATCTAATTAACCAATCAATCATTTTCTTTTTTTTTCTTGTTTTTTTGCCATTTATCTTTCCGTTCTTTTGCACCTCATCTGATTTTCAATGAAATCGAAAAAAATGAAAATTTAAATTTTCAAAAATTCAAATTGATTTAATGGAAAACAGGAAAAATCACATAAAGTAAGTATGAAATTTTTTTTCCCATTTCTAATTCACCAATATTAATGATCGATTTGAATTTGATTTATTTTTCTGTTGTTCATTCAAAAAAAAAAAAAATGAAAAATAATAGTCATATCGTCCATTATGTGTACTTACATTCCGTCTGAATTATTGGCTACATCAACTACGACCATTTGGATATCATTTGATCAATATTATTCTACATACAATCGTTTCATTGCAATATTTTCGGTAATTTTTTTTCCTATAAATCTCATTCACAATATGATTTTTCTGAAACGATCAAAAATAACAAGAATTGAAAAAAACAACGATTTGATCATCATGTGATAATAATTATATAATGTTGATCATTCGATCACATCTGATTGATGATGTGCATGCAAATCATCATCATCATTATCATTAGTATGATTTGGATGCTAGAATTTGAAATATTGTTAGGCTATGATTATTATGGATGGATGCTTCGACAAGATTCAAATCAAATCGAAACAAATCAATCGTTTGTTATTAAATTATAGAATATTTTTTTCATTCCTTTTTTTTGTTGTAAAATTAATTATATAATATTTTTTTTTGTTGTTGCAGAAATGATGATGAATATTTTGCATGTCAAAAGATATTTAATTTTATGGAATTCATACATTTTTCAAGCATGAATGAATAATCTTTTTTTTTTGGTGGATTATCAATTTTTTTCCATTTATTTCTGCTGATTGTTTATTACAGATTTTGTCAAATTTTCATGTCCATAAAATCATCATTTTTGGCTGCCATATTGTTTACAATACATCCGATACATACCGAAGCTGTCACAAGTATTGTTGGTCGTGCTGAATGTCTTTGTGCAATATTTTTTCTTGCTACAATTTTTTCCTATTACCGTTTGTTGATGGCCATCGATTCGTATAACAGTAATTCCTGATTTATTTTTGTTTTTTTTTCATCTCATTCTAATATACCATCCTTTTCATTCGATGTTTTTACGGTTGAATTGTTTTTCTTTTCTTTTCTTTTTTTTCACCCACTTAAAATAGAATGGTTATGGCTAATGGCATCGATTACATCAATCACTGCAGCTACATTTAGTAAAGAACAAGGTATAACATCGATTGCCATCTGTATGGTCATTGAAATTTTCTTCAATCAAAAAGTAATTATCTTTCGCATAATATTTTTTTTCTGTGACAATTGCGCTATATAAATTAGATTAGTTAGACGATTTACTTTCACTTATTTCTCATCCTCTTTTTTCTCAAAAGACCAAAAAAAAAATTCAACATCTTTTTTTTCTTTGTTTTGCCATTTTTATTATTATCATCATTATCATTTAATACAGAAATTTTTCTTTTTATTTTACCATTAGCTACAACGTCTAGCCTCTAAATTGTCATTAAATGTCTATTATAACAATGGTTACAAACAACAGACAAAATCATTGAAAAAAACATCATCATCATCGTTATCATCGTTGTCGGTATTGTCATTTCCCAAATGGATTAAGGAAATGATCACAAGAATAACCATACTCATAATATGGACTATTCTACTGTTGACTATTCGTTTATGGTTAATGCGTTGGCAATTACCAATTTTTACCAAGTAAATTTTTCTTTTATTTTGGATAGAAATTTATATTTTGTTTATTATTTCTTTTTTTACTTGTTCAACATCAAAAATTACAATTTCCAATAATATCATTTTTCTTCAAAATAAAAAAAAACAAATATATAGGTTTGATAATCCGGCCGTTAATGCACCGAATCGATTGAGCCGTCAATTGACACAACATTATTTATATGCATTGAATATTTGGCTTTTACTCAATCCATGGTCATTATGCTGTGATTGGACAATGGGATCCATACCATTGATAAAATCATTCAACGATCATCGTAATATGTTTACATTGATTTTTTATTCATTCTTCATTTTGTTAATATACAAATCATTTGGCAAAAATGGCTGTCGAATTATGATGGCCAGTCTGGCTCTAATGATATTTCCATTCATACCAGCATCAAATATATTTTTTCCGGTTGGTTTTGTTATCGCCGAACGTGTACTATACATACCAAGTTTTGGATATTGTATGCTTATCGCACATGGTATCACAGTGTTAATATATCATTTTGATCAATCGAATAAGAAATATTCGATCGAAAAATATATTATTCATATCTTTATCATCATGTTGATTGTTGTACATACATCACGAACCATAATAAGAAATGTAGATTGGAAAAATGAATATAACATATTTTCATCGGGAATTCGTATGAATCCGAATAATGCAAAATTATTTAACAATTTAGGTCATGTTTATGAGATTGAAAAACAATATTATAAAGCGCTTGATCTATTCATTGCAGCTATACGCGTTCAACCAAATGATATAGGGGCCTATTGTAATGTGGCCCGTGTTTACGATCATATTGGACAGGCTAAACTAGCCGAACAATATTATTCAAAAGCGAAATCGATTTTAATGTCCGAATTGCGATCGAAGTCAATTAATGATGTACAAAATTTTGCTCGTATAGCACCAGCTCATTTAAGCCTTTTTCTTAATTTAGCCAATATAATTTCACGTAATCAATCACGATTAAAAGAAGCCGATGATCTTTATCGTCAAGTGATACAAATGCGACCAGATTATGTTGAAGCATATATTAATCGTGGTGATATTCTTCTTCAAATGAATCTTACTAATGAAGCTGATCATATTTATCGTACAGCATTGAATTATGATCAAAATAATGCCGATATCTATTATAATCTTGGTGTTGTAGCGATACATTCAAATCATTTTGATAAGGCAATTCATTATTTTGATAAAACAATCGAATTGAATTCAAAACATTTGGTAAGTTTTTTTTCGGGAAAAATTGCTTGTGTTTAGATACTAATTGATTCAAATTTTATTTTTTTCAGCAAGCATTATTCAATTTCGCTATTGTCGTTCAGGATGCTAAACGTTATGAATTGTTTGATCAGGCTCGGCAACGATTGGAATTATTAACAAAATATGATAAAAATAATGAACGAATCTATTTCAATATGGCCATGATTTCAATGGCCAATAAAAACTATATTGATGCGGAACAATTATTTCGCCAAACATTACATTTAAAACCTAATTTTGCAAGTGCCAATTTTAATCTTGCATTATTGTTGACAGAAAATGAAAGGCCATTTGAAGCGTTACCATATCTACAACGATTACTTCAACAAAATCCTAAACATTTTAAAGGATTAACTTTACTTTGTGATATTCTAATCAATAATGTTAAAGATTTTGATCAAGCTAGTCATTGTTATAAACAAATATTAAAATTAGATCCAAAAAATATTCAAGCAAAACATAATGTTTGTGTTATTTACATCGAAAAAGATCAATTGGATCTTGCGGAAAATTGTCTCAATGAAGCACGACAAATAGCACCAAATCAAAATTATATTGATCGCCATCTAAAAGTTATTCGTTTAAGAATAATGAAGAAAAGAAATAATTTATAATTTATTTTTTAAATTAAATTTTTATTTTTTCCTGTTTGCCTTATTTGATATTCAATTTTATTATATTATTATAATTGATTTTTTGTAAAATCAAATTTATTATGAATTCAATGAATAAATCTATTGTTTTATCATTAATCAATTTATCAGTAATTTTAGAATTTTGAATTCGAAAAAAATCCTTTATATTTATGGTAAATAATTGATTCATTTGTGTTGTTTTGATATGAGATGAATTTCTTATTAATAATGTGTATTTTACAATTTTCATCGACAAAAATATTAGCGGAAAAAATTTTATTTAATGGAAAATCTTATAAAAGTACGGAAATTCGCCAAATACGATTCCCATATAAACCGGTATATGGTTTACCTGAACATTTCAATTGTACAATGATAACAAAAGAAGAATTTGAACAATGTGAAATCGAAGCATTGAAAGCATGGACAATTACAATTAGAAATTATGTAAGTTATAAAAAAATCATTCATTTTACAAAAAAAAAAATATAAAAATATATTATCATTTAGTTTTATCAATCAAAGTATTTTTGTTGCTTTGTATGGTGTGCTTTGGATTGTGAAATCGAACTAATGAATAAATGTAATGAAACACATTCTAAATATATGAAAGATAGTACTACCGAATGGTTTAAAAAAGCATGTCACTTTTTTGACAAAACAAGTGCATTTTGTAAAATAAAGCCTGATTTTGAAACATTCTTTTATGATAACTATGTAATCTTCATTATTCTCCTGATAATAGTTGGGCTATGTACATTAAATAGAGAATATCATGGGTAAGTGTTGAAAATAATATTTTTTTTATTAAAAAGTAAAATCTAAAAATTAAAATTTTATAGTATCACACGAAGTGATGTATTGAAATCAATTGAAAATTTTATCCAAGGTGATGAATTGACTGAAAAATATAACTTGGATACAAGTACAAAACCTCAATATGGGTTATACTCCCAAAAACCTTGTGCAAGTCATACTCCACTACCATTAGGTGCTATTAATCAAAATGAAAAGATATCTAATTTTATTGATCCGGATAAATTTTCAGGGAAGTTTATTGAAAATTTTTTACATTCAATTAAAGAGTTTTCATTAGAACAATTTTTGTCTTTACCAACCAAATCTACCGAACGAATGCCAGAATTTTCATTATCAACTTTAAAAAAATACTAGTTCTAGAGGTTCATTTTAAATGAATTATTATTATTATTTTTTTTTAAAAAATAAATAAAAGTATTTCCATTATTGACTATAAAAAAATAAACACAACTTAATGACTTGAATTTTTTCAAAATGAAAAAAAGAAAAATACAAAATAAATTTTTTGTTCAAGTTTTCAAATAATTCAAAATTAACTAAAAACTTTTTATATATTTAAAACATTTACAGCTCATAATTTGTCAACAGTTTCTTTTTCCTGAAACAAAACAACAATTCAATCTCAACTTCGAAATACAGAAAAAAAACAATGATTGTTTTACTATCAACTGTCATTGTTTTATAATCAACAGGAAAAATCTATGCAAAAATAAAGAGAAATATAAGTAGAGAGAGAGAGAGAGAGAGAGAGAGAGAGAGAGAGAGAGAGAGAGAGTGAGCATGATGATACATTTTATTTATCAGATT